CACAATAGTGTGAATATGCAGATAATGGTAATTTCTTTTATATGAAGCATGAAAAAGAAAAAAAAAGGTGACAAATCTCTTGTCAATACTTATGGTCATTTGGCAAATCCAGATTTGAACAATGCTGGAAAACTAACAATGAATACTTTGGCTCACTTTCTCTGTCACTTTAATTTTTCTTAGATGTATGTGGAAGACCCCTCCAGGTGCTCTCCACATACAGAACAATCCTGAGCATCTCTCTCATTTATGAAAGTGCACTGCGGACACTGTCGCCCCCCTGAAATGAGAGGCTTCACTTCTGGACCAGGCATGCGAGATTTTCCACACATGTCACAAACATTGCGGTCCCTGTCATTTAGGAACGTACAGGCAGAGCATGCCCATGGGGAGAGGACAAAGCTTTCCTTGGAAGGTAGTGCTTCTCTCGACTGGGGAGTGCTGGTGGTGATACTGGCTTGCTGGAGTGTAAGTGCAGTTGTGGTAGAGCGAGAAGTTTCTGAAGGGAGTTCTTGTCTGGAGTGTGATCCCTTACTGCTCATGCTCATACTTCTTGGAGATGAAGAAGTACTCATATTGTTCTTATTACTCAGGTCTAATTTATTTTCTGTTCTCATAATGTTATTTGTTTTCTTTAAAACTAGCTTTCTTTCTTCACAGTCATCGCTGTCCTGAGGTGCTGTCTCAAAGCCAGCAGAGATGTTATCGTACAAACTGTTCCTCTTGGTAAGGTTGGGGAAGACATCAGGGCCACCACTGTGAGATAAGGAATGGGAACTTTTGCTTGAACTGGAGGGTCTTTCCACTCTTTCACGGGTCTCATTAAGTGCCATTGCCTGCAATGCTTGGTTGATGGACAGAGGCTTGTTTTTTGTGATATCCTTCTTGTTATTCAGATTATTATTCTTGCCTTGTGCTGTTTCTGAATACAAATTCTGCCTGGTCATCTGGTGGAGAATGTCTCCCCGGTCACCAATGTCTTTGTTGTAGCCTCTCTTCTCCAAGCCCCGAAACACAAAGTCCCAGTTCTCCCAGGAACTTGCTCCCTGATCATTAGGGGTGGTAAGACTAGCCGAGTTTCTATTGGGGTCTTTCACAATGGACAAAGTGGCTTCTAGATGTTCATCTATGGTGCCAGGCTGAAACACCTCTGGTGGAGGTGGAGCAGGTGGGCAGGGCTCGGAATTTTCTAAAGGAGGTAGAATGCGGCTGCCAGCTACTGTTGACTTGGAACTCCTTTTGTGAGGAAGTACCTTAAAAAAATAGATTCAAGTGTAAAACCCCCAATTCAAGTGTAAAACCCCCAAAGGGTAAGGGAAACAAGAAGTCTAGACCAAAAGGACAAAATTAAGATAATAGTTGTCTAAGAATATTATAATGTAGTTTTATTTATTCATTTCTTGAAATTCATTCCAGCAATTTTAGAAGAATTAAAAAGGCAATGGCACCATCACCTTCAATGCGGAGAAAAGTAATAGGCAGGATAAAACCTTAAAAAACTATTAAAAATTGCAAATCCTAAATTTGCCATCAAATATACAGGCACTCAACCTACCTTTGGTAAGAGCTGAGATGCCCTTGGGGAAGGTAAGGCTTCATGTGTGGAGTCAAGGTCGATAAGTTTAGCAGTAGGCACCTGGCCAGCAGGTGCCCCCAATCCCAAGCTGCTTATGCTTTTTGCTGTAAATCAATAACAGTTTTTAGGCATCTGTACACAGGATTCTTCCTAATAAAATGAAGTTTTGAATATTCACCCACCAACAATTAGTGCCTTATCACATCATGAAGAGTTGAGCCTGCTCTGCATTGTGCACACTAAACAGCTATATACTTGTTTGGTCCTTGCTTAAAGCCTCCTTTTCACCTCATTACCTAAATAGTCCTTTATGCAACTGTCAAGAACATAGAGAGTGAGGTAAATTCATGTTTCCTGTGTTTCAAATTTTTCCTACAAGCAGCTGACTGCGTCTATACATTGATAAGAATCTGGGAGACCCTATCATAAGTGGGTTACCAGCAAAGCAATTAAATCTAACTTCAAGCTTTGGAGTCAGTATCAAAAACTTAACCCAATGCTGAAAAGAGTATCACATGCTACACTGGATGCCTTATGTAGTCAGCCAATTAAGGGAAAACTTAGAAGCACAAGAAAAATCTAAATTCCCTAACCTCTATGATTTTGACTACAACATATAAGATTTCCCTGTGAATGAGGCTAATAAGAAATTTTGAGCAAACATTTAAAGGGATATAACAATGGCCAAACAAGCAAATAACCGCTTAGTATGCACAACTTAGAGCAAGCTCAACACCCAAGGCATAGGTGTACATGCCATCAGGTAATCCATTCATGCCATGGTATGTACATACATTGCATCTGTCTGCAAGGGATTAAGAGCATTAAAAGTGGTAAAATAAAATAAAAATTGAGAAAATCAACTGACTAACAGAAAATGCCATGATAACCAATTAAAGCATTTGTCAGATCCTGCAGTTTGATACTATGAGAACTTAAAAACAACTACTATCATTCAAGGGCTCAGTACCAACCATTCACAACAATTCTCTATAACCTACCTACTAATGAGAACAGTAACCTAGATAATACAGTTCCTTGATACAATGATAATTTAATAGGTTTGGGAGATGGTTTACTTTTAAGAATCTTTTTTTCTATCCCCTAAAGGATGAAATATAGAGAAAGTCAACAGTTTGAATCATTCTCAAGTAATAGGACTGATCTACATCTTTGGAAAGGAAAAAAATATTGTTTACCTTTGCAGATAAAAATCTCTTTTTTTAATAATTCAAGGCATGGCCAGTGGGTACACAGAGACCCCATAAAATATTGTAAAGTTATATGTGTACATCATCTCTACATATAAAAACAATTATATGTGAGGGTGTGGTGAGGAGTTCACACAGATATGGTCTTCAGTAATGCCCACCGCGGCCCGCTGCTGCGTCAGAGTGCCAGCCCCGATACAGCACATGTATACAGCACTGGTGGGACTCCCGGCAATTTTTTTTTTTCCGGGTGTCTCATATATGGGACACCCGTCAATACTGGGTTAATATTAGAGATCAATGTTCAGTAGTAATAATCTGCTATTTTTTTTATATCTTAATCAAAGTTAGCTTTGATAATCACAAAGCCATAGTTAAAAGGACCGTCCCTGGTGGTGGGGGGATTTTGGGTCAGAGTGGTCGAAAATGAGTTATGGTCACTTTAAAATTTGTATATGAGAGCAGAATTAACCACATGAATATAAACTCCAGCAATGAAAAATTTAGGCAACGTGCGAAGCCAGAAACCTGAGTCCCACTGCTGCTGTGTCAGCGATTTTCACCCTTCAGCACTCTCGCTTTACAGGAGCGAATATGATGCATGGTACTATGATATTACCTATTGATCTGGATCACAGGAAGATAAAAGTGTCTTATCATAACAGATTTTTCCCAAAGTGAAAGATTTATGATATGAAAAATGAAGAAAAAATAATAATTACGCAACTTTTCAAATTTCTTTCCAATAAAATAAAGTCGATATGATTCAATTTTAATGTATCATACAAGTATGTTTAGGGCTTGATGATAATATATGAGCGGTTATAAGTCTGAATCTCTAAAAAATAAGCTCACAATGAATAGATATTTACACAGGCTGGGTAGTTGCCCTCGTCAATGGCTGTCTCGGAGGGACCCATGCGACAGAGTTCCAAGAGTCGCCACTGCTTTAGACTTTTCTGATTGCAATAATTTTAGGTATGTGCTTTCATTTGAAATTAAATAATTAATTAAACAACATTATGTCAATATAAATCCATGTTACAAAAAAAAAATAATAATAATAATAAATGTAAAGAAAGAGTATGATATAATATATTCAAGCAAACTCCTAAAATCAGCCTACAAATATCTGATACCTATTGTTACATCTCAATATGAAGTGTCCATGATAAACGAACATAAGCAATTTGTATATATTTTTGATATATCAACTTTTTCTGAATGGTTATTTATAACAAACAAGAAACAATTCATTATCCCTCCATAACAATTACTCCCCTTGTGACTAAACATTTATCGCTTGTTTCGAGGCAGAATCATGTGGTTAGACACAGCGGAAGAAGAGCAGACTAGAATAAAAGAAATAATAAATAAAATAAAAAAATAATTATGTACCCAATGGGTATATGTGCAAATACACATATACATATGCACAAACATGTACCTTTACAATAATTTACTTGCGTATACACAAGAAAACATTAATAAAAGAGGCATAAAACATGAAACAACCAATTTTATATAACGGTCATGTTGTATTGGGTCTGGATTTGCCTCCTTTCACGGGAGTCATTTGTTTGTTTGTTTCTAAAACTGGGAGACTAAGGATCATATCTTTACCTAATAAAGTGCGTTTTAAAGAGAAATAATAGTAGTTTCTACAGTAAGAAATGGTAAAGATCCATAAATTTGGAAATATAAAAAATGAACTTCAAATATCCAACTTTTTGTTTGCTTGTTTTTCGATTTTTCTTTCTTTTCAAGCAACAGCTTTTCCTTGCCCTAGAGTTTTTATCTGATTCAAATTATGGATATATCTTTGGAAACCTAGTGAAAATGCGCAGACAACATGGTAGCGAATTAAGTGTTGTCCCATCGATAAACGAATGTGGAATGTAATGTGTGTAAGCAGTGACTGGAAGAGCACCAACTCCATGGAGGACGCCATTTCCATGATGTACACCATATTTCAGGCCGCTATGATTGGTGGCACAGGTTATATTACATAAAATTGAAAATTACGTAAAAATGAGATATATGACATAAATAACCAATTGTTCCATATTTTTTTCCTTCTTGCACTTAGTTATTTACTACATAGAGAGATGATACAGAGACTTTGCAAGGAAAATAAGCTTTTACCATCTGGATAAAGCAAATCAAAAGACAAATTATGGACATTGGAAATTGCGATAAAGCTAAAAAAGTTTACACAAAATAACTTTGCAAAGGGGAGGCATAGAGTCTTGTCACCACTCATGGGTGTTCGTGTGTACCTGGCCTACGCGCTGTACGCCTGGAATGTTGACCACTTATGTAACCCTATTGCCCGGACTTTCATCTCTATGATTTCCGTGATGCAACTGGGTCCAGAAGGTTAAAATTGAACAAATGGTACAGCCTAAAGATTTTTCAAATCTATGTCCCAACTTTCAGCCACAGTCATAAAGAAGCAAAGAACTCCCATGAAGATGTTCAAGTTGCTAGTGAGAGAGCTAAATCACTTTTTACAAAAATTATGGAGGATTTTAAGTGTGTCCATATGTGCATGCTTTACAATAACAAACTGAACACAGGCCTAATAACTTCAAGCTCTCTTGTTCCACAGCCATTCAGAAATGCAACTAACTTATTTCAGCTGCTAAATACACCCGCCATTCAGAAATGCAACTAACTTATTTGAGCTGCTAAATACACCCGAGGCCATTTAAAAATAAATTATTTCATTAAGTCACTTGTACTTGTCACTCATACTAAATAACTGATAACATTCTGTTTGGTTCAGCCTACTCTATGTTGGTGCACTGAATAATTGTTCTGTTGCTTGTTCCAGGCTGCTCTTGGCATGGAGAAACAGTCTTTTTAAAGTAGCCTTAAAGCCTTAGCTTCTTTTCCTAAAATATAATTCATGCCTTAGCCAAGAGTGTAGACACCAAGTTTTTAAGTTCCCTAGGGTTCTTATCTCTTACTCAAGCAACTGACGGAGCTCACTGCATGCAATCTCCAACACATGGCCAATTACTGCACAGAGAAATCCCATTGAGAATATGTTATTGAAATTATTATAAAGGGTCACAAACATAAGGTTAGTCTGCTCAAAAAATAGAGACTAACAAATATAGAAAATTTACACAAATGCATATCCAGCCTTTTCAAGCAGAATATGATAAAACGGTAAAAAAAGACTAGCACTACAAGGATGCTTAATATCAAAACAAACACATACCAGTATCAGGTGTATCAGCACTGCGAGAGCAAGAGAGAGGTGGGGCGGGCTGAGGGCCAGGTGACTGTGAGGCTGACAAGGAGTTGTGGCTGGAGACTGCCGTGGAGGCTGAGTGCTGAGGAGCTTGATTGGTAGGGTGGTGATGAAGGTGGTGGAAGTGATGGTGATGGTGGTGATATCCTCCTCGCTGGTCTCCCACTGTGCTGTTGCTGCTGGCACCCATCCCAACTTGGCCCGAACGTGCCTGCTCCAGGGAAATGCGCTGGTCTCCAGTGGATTTGTCCTGGGTTGTGTGAACTGAGGATGGGGGCTGCTGTGTGGCTGCAAGTGAAGCTGGCGTGCTGGAAGTTGTTCCTGTTGATCCCTGACGAATTGGGAGGGGTGGCCCAGTTGAAGACGGAGTCTGAGAAATTAACAGATATAAACATTTTACATGTCTGAAATAATCCCTCAACAGCATTAAAAAAAAATTTGGAGCTACACTAACTCCAGTCACATATCTGTTAGGCTACTTTCACACCAAGGTGACATGCAACCACATGTAACCTGCATGCAACACCAAGCTTCAAATTACCCATTATTTTTCAGTCTACCTTGGACTATGTTGTCAAATTTTGATGGAGTGTTTACTTCCAAAGTCATTATTAGTCAAGATAATATAAAAATATTAAAATAAAAAACAATATATAAAAAGGAAAACTTTTGAAGGTATGGCATACACAGAGTAGTTTTGAATTGTCTAGAGATATTCCACCATACTCATTTGAAAACACTGATTCGCTTACCCAGTAAGTGAGGCATTGGTTGAGAGGGTAACCACATGCAGTTGTGCATGAGGAAACAAAGTGATGTGTGCCTGTTTTCTAGCACAACTATGCCTCTTCCAGACAATGAAACAATCAACATAATATTTTTACAAACTGTGGTGAAATGCAAATGATTGTATGATATAACATCACCTCTGATGATAACAACATTACTTTCCATAATAGAGTTATCAAAACATTTCGTTTGTGAGAAAAAATAGTATTTTCAGGGTATTGGAACAAGTTTGCATCACATTCTGCCCCAAAGTCCTCCACTTTATTCATCCAAGTAACAGATAAATAATTGTCAAAAGACTTCTTAGGACAGCAATAATATCATCAACCTTCTATGATGCCATCTTGTGAACCGAGTGACATAATTTGTAACCTTGGTCTGAAATCACTGTGCCACATGTCACTTGCCACTTGCTACCTGTCACTTGCTTCATGTGATGTGCCACCTTGGTGTGAAAGTTCCCTTACATGCTGTGTACTCAGAATAGTCAAATTAAGTAGCCTAATGGGGACATTTGAAAAATTAAACCCTGTTAACTTTTCTTCACCAATCAAATCATTTTCCTTTCTCTCTGACACTATTTAAGAATAGAATCAATGGTCACTTTATTACCTGTCTATGACTGGTTTCATTCTGAATTTGTGGTTGTAACCGCTGCCTCAGAGTAAAGAGGAGGTGCCTAACAGTGACATCAACACCTCCAACATGCAATTGCCGGAACTGCAGGATTTGCCTCCACGTCAGACCAAATTCACGCACTCCTTCACTGATCTTCTTCAGTACCTAAAAATCAGAGGAAGATTTTCATCTGTTATTCACCATGAATCAAACTGTCCTACTGACACACTTCCAAAAATGATTAAAAATAATACTGATAATTTTTATATATATAAATATATGAGGAGAAATAAAAAATAACAGTCATAACAAAAATAACATTACTGTCATAACAAAAATAACATTACTAATACTACTAATGATAATGACGATAAAAATAAAAATGAAAAAATAATATCTGGATCATAAGAAAAACATAACAAAAAGGATAATTATAATGATGTTAATAACAGCAGTTAATAATAATAATAATGATGATAATAATAATAATATAATAATAATAATAACATTAACAAAGAATTCATTACTACTAGTCTACTACAATCACTACTAATACTACTACTACTAATAACAATAACAATGACAATGACAATGATAATGAAAATGATAAAGATTTAAACAAAATTAACAACAATGATAATAATAATAATAATAATAATAATAATAATAATAATAATAACACTAGCACTTATAATGATAATGATGATGGTATTAGCCCCTACACTCCGGATAACATAACCAACGTTGTCATGAAAAAATTTGGCTTGAGGGTCAGGTGGTGAAGATATTGTCATGGGAAAATTTGGCAGAGGACCAGGGTGATGCAAACACACCGTCACAAGCATTTCAGACGAAGGGAAAGATTCACAATGAGTGCACAGAACCCTTGGAGGGTGATAATACTTCTTTGACATTTAGGGAGGGTTTTTTCCATTATATCTTTCGATAAATGAGTGCGGAATGTAATTTCCGGGAGCCAACACTGGATGAGCACCAGCTCCATGGAGGATGCTATTTCCATGCTCAGGATCCTATTCCTGGTCACCATGACCAGCGGCACGGGTTGTATTACAGAAATAACAAAATGTTACCTAGTTATTCTTATTACACTGAGTTATGGAATACCTAGAAAGATGGTATGGAGTCTGTGCAAGGAAAATAGTCTACTACCATCTGGATAGAGCAAATTAAATGACAAATATCGACATTGGGAAATGGAGAGAGGAGAAAAAAAAAAAATGCTTATACAGAAAAAGATAATATAAAATTGCAAAGGGGAGGCATGTAGTCTTGTCAATGCACATGAGTCTCTCCACTCATGTAAGCCTAATGCTCGTCCTTCAGGCCACATGATGGCAGTGAAGCATACAAATACAATGGGTTAATAACATCATCTTCATCACAATAATAACAAAAATAATATCAATGAATAATAATAATAAGAAGAAGAACAACAACAGTATAAATGTTGCTGTTGCTATCATTACTACTACTACTACTTCTACTACTAACAATAACATTAATAAAAATAACAACAACAATAACAACAATAACAATATCAATAGTATAAAATGGAAATAATAATAATAACAATGATAATAATAATAATAATAATAATGATAATAATAATAATAATAATAATAATAATAATAATAATAATAATAACTAGAAGCACACAGAAAGTCCATACCTTCTCCAAGGCAATGGGGTTACTGATGTAATAAAAATATTTACACGAAGAATTACATTAAAATCTCCTTTCTCAAATATACTGGTGATGATAAAAATAATGGTTAACTGTGTATGTAGGGTTAACTGTTCAATCTTTCAAAAAACTCCTGGATCTGCATCTAAGTCACCGCCAAAATTTAATGGCATCTAAGTTGGGCTGACACACCTCTGGTAAAAAATTCATAAAAATCTGTTCTCAACTTTTTGAGTTTTCCTCTTACCCAATGAACAAACAAACAAACTAACAAAATAACTAACCAATCAACAAACACTACCAAAATCATAATCTTCATGGCAGAGGTAATAATAATAATAATAATAATAATAATAATAACAATGACAACAACAAAAACAACAGTAACAATAACAATAATAATAATAATAACAAATAATATTAATGATAACAATAATATTGAATTATGGTTACAGAAAACACAAGGTGGATGATGATAATACTATTATGACAGTAACAGAAGTACTAGTAGTGTGACACATAAATAAAACAAAATTCCAACTAGAGAAATTACTACTATACCTGACATTCACAGTAAGCAATCAAACAATCTAGGGAGAGCCTTGAAATCAGGTCAGGGTCAAGAACACCTTCCAGAACAAGGCAGGCAGGATCGGCACCCTCAGAGGACCCTGTGGAGGTGCTGCTGCGGGGAACATAGCCCATGAGGGCCAGGACTGTCTCAGCCCCAGCTAAGTGACGTGCAACTTGATGAACCCAAAAGCCACTATAGAGCTGTGGGAATAAAGGTTGACAATAAAGGCACTTCCTACATATTCAGGTAGTCTCGTGTTAGTCTT